TATTCACTGACAACATGTTTCCTGCAATAACAAATAAAATACACTAGATGGCAATCACTGCTCACTTGAACTTTCTCCCAAAACATTCCTTAGGTAAGTCACTTAGTAGAAGACATGCTCTGGTTTAGTTTTATTTTTAGTTACTAATAAATTACAATTAATACAATTATAATATATGCTTATTGGTTTGATAAAATATCTTAATATGTCGAAACTGTTTCTTCAGATCAGCCTGAATCAGTGAATCTGAGAGGATTCACAAAGCTTGGCCTATCCTTTATCTTGAGAGCTTTACAATCCTCCTGACATGCCAGAATCTTACATTTGCTTTTTTACAGAACCATAAAAGGCAAACATTTGGCTCCCTTCCCAGAAACTGATACCAAACATAGACTGAAAATGGGAAAGAGTTGTTAGCAACTACATTTCACATCCGTGAAACTCAAACAAGGGGATGGGTTTCTGAATAAACAGTTGCACTCAGGTGACAAAAGGAGGACTCTGTGTACTCTTCCTGGCATGTTTCATCTGATGGCACACACGTTGAGGAACGGTATACCTCTCAGATCTGTCTGTCGCATGGTTACCAGAGATTTGTCTGGTGCCTTATCTTTTGTTTACATGTTTAGCATGCAACTGTCAACCCACTGTATTACACAAAGAAGTGATGGTACACTGAACACAGCGCAATCTTACGGAAACATTTGACTCTTCTCTTGAACTGTTGGATGCCTTATTACTATATTCAAACAATCAAACTCATCTTTCTCATCCAACCACCTGTTTAAACCACCAAGGCTAAAATGCAAATAGTTATATTAGTTAACAATTCTGAATTCTAGAACAATTTTAAACCTCCTGTATTATTTTAAGTATCTTGTAGCTAATTGGAAGCCATTACAGACATAAATCCATACAGTCTTGCAAACAGGTTGGCCCGAACAGCTTGACACTTCATTGAGATGCTGACCGAGCTCCTTTCTCTCTCAAGCCTGCTGCAATTAATGTGTCAGTCATGAGGTGTGTGATAAATGGGCTATTACTAGCTTGGCTGACCTTTTAGTGAATGGAATTGCAATGCAAAAGGGAACATCTTTTGTATTCTTTATAAAGCTTTATAAAGTTAATGTTAATGTAGCAGTTTATGCCTATGCATTTCATGGTTCAAATTTCATACATTTTTTTAAAGCAGTAGTTCACCCAAAAATTAAAAATGACTCATCTTTAGGCCACCCAAGATGTAGATGAGTTTGTTTCTTCTTTGGAATAGATTTGGATTTGCTCACCTCTGCAGTGAATGGGTGCCATCAGAATTAGAATCCAAACATCTGATGAAAACATCACAATAATCCACATGCAATCTGTTTAGATGAAGAAACAAAGTCATCTACATATTGGATGGCCTGAGGGTGAGTTAATTTTTTAGCAAATGTTTAATTTTGGGTGAACTATTCTTTTAAGGTTTACATACTCTTTTTTTTAATATAGGGAATGAAAACCTGAAAATGTGCCTGAGCATCCAGGTTTCCACAACCTTTTGAAGTTCCATTATTTTTCTAGTCATTTATGATTTCTGCATAAAGAATTTTCAACCCTTTCAGATTCAAAACATTCTATGCCTTGAAATTATGAGCATAACAACAACAAAAAAACTACATACATTTTCAGGACTTTCAGGCCTGGAAATCACAATTTTAAAATTCTCAGATATTTCTATAAATTGAATGACCATGGAAAGCAGATAACATAATTTATTTTTACATATAATATTATAATAATTTTGCATGGTCATGATATATATGGTATATAGTTTGAAACTCTACATAGACATAATTGGAGAGCATAACTGGACCACCATCTCAGCCCTCAGCTATTTTCATCTTGAATAAACCAGTACAGAACAAGCTAATTTGAGTTAAGGCATCAAGATATGCAAGATATTGTCAGTCAGGAAAAATCACCTTCTACTGCAACTGTCAGAGACCTCGACAGATGGGCTGTGAATCTGAGTTGATTGCCTTTTTTGGACATTTCTGTTTCCATGAGCCAAATCAACTTTTATGGAACCACAGAGATGTCAGTGTACAGTAATGTTTTTGGTTTTTTTGCATTCATCCATAAGTGTTCTAAATAACTATCAGAACCTGAATCAATTAGTCAATATTTCTTGCAAATTTATCTTTCAAATAATACTGGACAGAATGACATTTGACTAGGAGATTGACTTATAAACAAGCGACATGGAAAGCACCATGTCATATCTCCATGACAACCCAGCTTTAGCAAAACTAATTTAGCAGTTTCATATCTTTTTATCTGAGCCTGTAGTGTTGCAAAACAGCATGCAGACCCCGGGCCCAAGTTAATCTTATGATGTCGTTTCATTCCTCCTTTTTATCAGCGAGACAGTGTGCAGTGAGTGGCCTTATCTTGTATGTTCAAGTTATAAGCTTTTCTACAAATGATGCCTGGGTAATGGTGAAAAGCAGTGTGCAACCTAAAGCCCTATGTGAAGAAAATTAAGCTTGCTTTCTACACCAATCTAAAAAGAAATATTTAAATGGTTGGCCGCATAACTACCTGTTTAACCAGTCAGACACATCTAAGATAAATTATCTTTTTAATTAGAAATGGGTTTAGTGGTGGGGGAAAGCTTGTCAGTTTAAACACTAAGATTTGAAGAACGCAAGATAAACCTGTAAAGCATGAGGTTGTCTGTAGTATAATGTACATTGTAGACATGAAAAGATATAATAAAATATTTACAAAAATGTGAGGAGTGTACTCACTTCTGTGAGATACTGTATATAGGCTATATATATATAGGCGCTAAATACCCTCAATGTGTTTGTGCAGCGTTGAGCAATGTAACCAATCACAGACATATCTGTTGATTTCTTAAACGCAATGGCCAATCAGAAACGTTTTGTAAGAATTCACTCACCGCTGAAAGTGCTGCAGTTTTTAAGTGCAGTTCTGCACGCTCGTGAATCATCTCATGACTAAGTGCAGACGCGATGTAAATAGAGATTCATTGTGCAGTTTAGAGAGCTTCATTGATTATAACGGAACTTTGTAAGATCGCGATGAACGAAGATGAGTAACGCTTTTTAGTGATAAAGGGAGCGCGCTTTATGCACTTTCTAGGGTATAATCCATTCAGAATTTGTATGAAACTTTCGTTTTTCGGACACAGGCTACATCTTGCAAAGTTTCGGGAATGACATCCTCATATTTATGCGGGATTCACTCTTGAAATAGCAGTGATTGGCAATGGACGGAACATAAATATGTTGATTTAATTCTGGAACCGGTCCTGGCCAAACCTCCACAGACAGCGCGCGTCCCGAGCGAGATCTAATTCACGGACCAAAAGTGTGTGTAAACTTTACTGAGATCGGGACATATCATCCAGTAATTTAATTTAATTTCCAGTAACGGACGGTAGAAATTTCAGCAATTAATGTATGCGATTTATGAGAGAATATAGTCCCACAACTGATCGTTTATATTTTCCTCACGTGTCTCGCCTTTGGTAACATCAATTAAAAATGGAAACATTTCAAGTGACATGGGAAAAAGACAGAAAACTTCAGTGAACATGAGAAAAGCACCATGCACATTTCTGGTTAAAAATGAAAGGCCATCAACTGACAAACGGGAAGCATCACCATTCAAGTCAGCAGCAAGAGCCAAAGCTAGTCCACAGTTTACTAAACAGTGGCAACCTCTTTAAGTTATTCTTGACTGTGTTGGATTGACTGCTTTGATGTGTTGCAATATGGTAGGGCATTGTTTTGATGCTTACATCCGAAAAAAAAAATGCTTTTATCTCTTGCCCCCCCTGACTCAAGAGTCAAATGTCACCCATGCCTATACACAAGGGGGCCTCCTGTTGAAAAAAGTCTGAGAACCACTGTGTTAAGTGTACTTTGCATTTTTAAGACCACAAGTGTGGGTGACCAAAAGCGTGTGTAAACTTTATTGAGATCGGGACATATCAACCAGTAATTTAATTTAATTTCCAGTAACGGCAATGAATGGTATGCGATTTATGACAGAATATAGTCCCACATCTGATCGTTAATTTTTTTCTCACGTGTCTCGCCTTTGGTAACAACATTCAAAACGGAAACATTTAAAGTGACACGGGGAAAAGACAAGGAAAACTTCAGTGAACATCAGAAAAGCAGCGTGCACTGGTTTCATTTCTGGTTAAAAATGAAAGGCCATCAACTGACAAACGGGAAGCATCACCATTCAAGTCAATAGGAAGAGCCAAAGCTAGTCCACAGTTTACTAAACGGTGGCAACCTCTTCTTGATTTGTGTTGGATTGACTGCTTTGATGCGTTGCAATACGCATATACGCAATACGGTAGGGCATTGTTTTGGTGGTTACATCCGAAAAATTATTTGTTTTTATTTATATACATATTTTTTTTCTTCATATTTTGGTCCACTCATCTATGCAGAATTGTTGTAATTCAGCCACATTGGAGGGTTTTCGAGCATGAACCGCCTTTTTAAGGTCATGCCACAGCATCTCAATAGGATTCAGGTCAGGACTTTGACTAGGCCACTCCAAAGTCTTCATTTTGTTTTTCTTCAGCCATTCAGAGGTGGACTTGCTGGTGTATTTTTTTTGTTTAGTTTTTTTGTTTTGTTTTTGTTTTGACGTGACATGTGGCCAAGTATGGTGACCCATACTTGGAATTAGTGCTCTGCATTTAACCCATCCAAAGTGCACA